ACTCAGGCATGTGCCCTGACCTGGAATCGAACCCGATCGCCTGGATCCTAGGTGGAGGCTCAACCTCTGAGCCACGCCTGGCCGGGCTCTTTTTAAAATTATTTAAGAAACGTATTCATTGTAGAAAGTATATTTTAGAGAATAAACATCCCTTGTCCCCTCCCCATAATTCTTTTCTAGGCATATTTTTTTTTTCCTTGCAAAAATGGAGCCATAGTGCATGTCGATCGGTAAACTCTTAGTTAAAATTAAATTAAGAGACGTCCCAGAAGCAAAAATACATATTTAAAAAAATCAGTTTATTAAAAATTTCACGTTATGTCCTTTGCAGTAGAACCCCTTTCTTCTCAAACACCAGTACGAGCCGCAAGCTCTGAAGTGGTTATGAAGTACATTGTGTTGCACATGGCTGGAGGGTTTTGTGGGTTTTTAAAAAATTTTTGTTTTGTTTTTTTTTTTTAAAATTAATCATGGTAGTCAACACAAATGGAAATAAATGAAGACCACCCACACGGAAACAACTTGCTGTAGCAGGGGAGACAATTCGAAGACAGTTGGGGTGAGGAAAAGCTTTATATCGAAAAAAACGAGGAAGCTTCCCTAAGCTGTAGGGGGAATAACTACACGGAGCATTTTACGCGATTGGTTTGGGGAGAATATTTGGATTTCTCTGATTTGTCCTGGGTGAGAGGTGTAGGCAAAAATAAATTGGTAGCCATTCGGCAAGTCCTGACGGTTCTGGGGTGGATGCTGCAGAGGTTTCTTTTATGGGTCAGAGCACTCTTGTCATATAAAACCTAGTGACTGCTCTTTTGTTTACTCGGTCCATCCCAAGAAATCTCAGTTATTCTAACACGTGGGTTTTACAGTCGCCCTCGGGTCACAGCTCCTCCGATTGCACAGGGTGGTTAGACCTGCTACTGCATGAACGCCTGCACCTTAGGCAATGGCCTCACGGGAGCCTGTGCAGCCGGTGCTGCCCCAAAGAATGGCATCCCCTTTGTATCTTGGGATGTGATACAAACACAGTGATACAAAAAATGGACTCTCTTTTTTGAAAATACGCTCAAAACAAAAATTAAATCAAGAAAAGGCCCAATTCAGGAGAAATACAGGAGAAAGGCATTAAGGCAAGAGAGTGGAAGCTACTACGCCAACTCATGATATCGACTGATACGTAACTGCAAGGTAATGCATTGCAGAAATATGTTGTTACTAACTATTGTATTCCTAGTCTTTTATTCCCGTTTCTTTGCAAACTAACTTTGATGAGTGCTAAGTATTAAAATGGCCACATTTTAGTCAAGCAACCAAACCTTAGCTCTGCCTTTGATAAAATGCAGTTGGCAGAACTTGATTCCCATTTAAAAGGCAGTGTCTGTGAAAGTACCTTCTTGTGTGCATCGGTCTAGATTACTTTTGCTCCCTAGGGAAACAAGATATCACTCTCTACTTCATCTCTGGAAGTTTTTAACCATAGGGCAGTGAACAAATCCGGCGTGGTGATATTCAAGACCATGAGGCGACTCAGAACCTCTCCCCAGCATAACCTCCCCTTTCAATTTATTGAAATTCACTAAGCCAAGACTTACTTTTAGAAAATGTTTTCCAGAAAACTGTCCACTTGTAAAATGACTTATTACCTATTACCATTTATAATTTTATGGAAAAGAGCCTGTTTTTGATTAGATGTTCATATGAAGTCACTTATAAAATAATTTACTTTTCTGAACTACTGTAACCTTGTTTTTTTTATAGAGTTAAACAGTCAGCTAATTCGTTAAGCAAATCACTCAACAAGAATTAATTAAACTCTTACTTTGTGTTCATTGTCCTCTCCTAGTGTAGTTTGTGCATTTACTTAGACACATTGTACATGTAACTTTACCAACAGCTTTCCCGAAGCTTAGCCTTTCCATTTTAAAATCTGAGATTAACTACAGTATTTGGTACAGTAGATAACAAAGGAGCTGACCTAGAGGGATTTTTTTCCCCGACCCCCAAGACTGTAATCCACAAACTCTTCTTTAGATGCCAGTGGATCTTTTCCCCAAATCCGAAAAAGTCTGTTCATGAAATATGTTGTCATAGTTTCCTATGGTTGCTATAACAAATTCCAACAAACTTGATGGCTTCAAACAATAGGAATTTATTCTCTCACAGTTATGGAGGTCAGAAGTCCAAAATAAACCTCTTGGGCTGAAACCCAGGTGTTGTACTGTCTGGAGGCTCTAGGGGAGGACCCAGTTCTGTCCTCTTCAGCTTCTGGTGGCTGCAGGGACTCTTTGACTTGTGGCCACATCATTCCAATCTCTGCCTCTGTGGTCATGGTTTCCTCTCCTTTTCTGTCCGTATCAAACTTCCCTCCACTTCCTTAAAAAAAAAAACAAAAAACCCCACTTATGGTTGCATTTAGGGCCCACCCAGATAATCCAGGGTAATCTTCCTGTCAAGATCCTTAATTTTATCACATTTACGAAATCTTTGCCATATAAATTAACACTGCAGGTTCCAAGAATTAAAGACCTGATATCTTTGGGGGCCATTTTTTAGCCTACTACACACTGGGTAAGAAAAAATCAGTTTCTTGGCAAGGTTGATCAAAGCCCTGTGTTTAATATATCTTTAGGCTGGCTTGACTAGGACAGCCAGGCCCTAAACTCTATGTGATCTTCCCACACTCTAACTTCTTTATTCACGGGCCTGAGTACAGCCAACATTTCATGCCTCGACTGTCCTTGTTAGTGCAATGTTTGACGTAGTTTTTGTTTGTTTGTT